TATATAATTAGAAAAAGCCATTTTTCAAGAAAATGAATGATTTCTAAAAGATGAACATAAAAAATAAAAAATAAAAAACGAAAAGGAAAAACACGAAAAAAAATATCCTGAACTGAAAAGCCTAGACGGAAAACATTGAAAAATGAATTCTGTTCACTATCTTTAAAAAAAATTTCTTATTATTCTTCCTTACAACTTCAGCAACTTCTTTGAAATGCATTTTTCCGTTTTTTGCTTCCAGTTCTTGTCATGAAACTACAATAGTAACCCCTAAATTTCCTTTTTTAAATCCTGGGAATTATGCTTCTTTATTATCAACCTTCTGTCTGTTTTGAGTGCAATTTTATTTAAGATTATTTAAATTGTTTGTCACAACAAATTCTCTTTGCCACCTTTGCAATGATTGAAGCATATTTGAAATGAGCTGTAAGGCAACAGATGATAAATGTAAGCGGCAAAAATAATGCGAAATCGTCAGCCGCAGCAACAGGAGCAACAGCAGTTGTTCTTCTTTCCTACGCTTTTCATTTCAGTCTTTTTAACGATCAATGCATAAATGTATAACAGCAAGAAATCCTTATACCTGCACAAAAAAACCTATCCTTCGCTAAACTCCTTCCCTTCCCCTCCCCTCCCGCCTTCGCCTCTTTCTTCTCCCTTTTTACGTCGACCTAACAGTATAATCCTTTTACAATCAGTATTTTTTCAGTGTTAACATTTAATGCGCAACACTACAATATCAAATGAATCATAATAGTAAGCGTAAAATAATAAAAGGAACACTATACATCCAAGTTGAATCGAACAAAAAAAAATTAAAAAAATCCGACACAACAGCCAAAGTTTTTCCATTTCTATTCAATTTACACTGAATCCTGGCAAAAAATAGAATAACCTAAATAAATCTAAAAATTTCTACCTTCAAATGTTAAAAAAAGAAAAGCCAGTAAAAATAAAAAAAATCGAACTAAAGGAAAAGGTAAAAACTGAATATAGTTTTGTAACCAATTCTTAGAACAAAACCAAATGATTCACCATTTTCATTTCAACACTCTTGGAAAAAAGGTGCTTTTGAACATGAATAAGATTTCTCTCTCATGTAATTCGGCGAAATATCACATAATCATCAATATTTTTCAAAAGATTTGAAAACAACACCAAAAATTTTGATAAAGAAAAATTTAAAAATAACCTAAATTAACAATAGAACAATCGCATAATAAGTGAAGCAAGCAACAAGGATAGTTGAGCAACGATACCACTTAATCAAATTCAATTTATGAAAGTATTTTTTTAGCAAACAACTAACAAACCAATTTCATCGACCAATTTGAGCATTAAACCGCCAATGTGGAGACCACCAGTTACAAACAGATTTCTCTGGATATTCATGTCAGTAATAAGTACTGTGAGTGACCAGCTCCCATCATTTGCTACTCCGTTCTCTACTAAGTGCGCCATGAGACCTAAATGACAAAAAGAAAAAACCCATAAAAATAACTTTACAACTTTCATGATGATTACCACAATAAATTCAAAAATCCCTAGAGACAATTCAGCTTTTTTTCACTCTCATCCCACCTCCCTCTCCACTTCTTCTGATACTATCCACTTCAAGTTGGACATTGTTTCAACAAATGAATTTTGCAGAATCCAGTTTTATTTTTCGTTTACTTGTCCTTGCCGATTTAAAGATAAAGCGCATACATCAAATGGCGAAAATAGGGTTCATTTAAGCATAAGCCTTGTTAAATCAAAATGTACTTTTTGAATGTTTGAAACGAAAATAGATCATTATGTG